TTGAAAAGGGTATCCTTACCCAATTCCACAATAAAGGGGTTTATACATTTAAACATACTGTACTACATATTGCTTACAGACAGAATACATTAGAGGGACATCAAGTAGAATCATGTAGTCTGGTTGATGAACCTGAAGAAGGTCCCACAGACAAGCAGTCAGTAAAAAACCAGTAGTGTTTCCGAAACCTCTTGGAACCTATTAAAAGTGTCTGATAATGTCTAACCTACACAGACATCTTTATTTTATGATCAACTGAAAAGGTTAGCAAATGTATTTTCTCAAAATGTTGTTACTTATGTAAAGACGCTCAGAACTATTTTTGAGCATGGTAAACAATCTGGATTGACAGTTAAACAGTCTAAGATCAAAATTAATTGTCACGAACTTAAATTTTTTGGGGCATAACACTTTTAAGGGAATACTGAAGAGGGATGAGAAAATTATTCCAAATATTTCTAACCTAACAAATCCCACAACAAAGAAAAAGGAAATCCGAAGCTTACTTGGGCTCATTAACTACATTAAGTTCATCCCAAATGTTAGTCATAAAACGGTTGTCTATACGAAACAGTTGAAAAAGGGATCCTCCAACCTGATTGAATGGAATACTGAACTTGACCAGGCCTTCGCCAAGATCAAGACACTGCTCTCCAGTTCCCCAATTTTAAAATTGTCTCAATTTAAATTGACTTTCATCCTCAGATCCAGCGTGAACGGTATAAGAATTGCGGGCTGTTTGAAGCTACCAGAAGCTTACCCATTTAAAGGAGAGTTACCCTTCGTCGATGTATCACAGTGTAACAGGTGCCGATGTCATGGCAAAGCCAATACAGCACCCAATAGTATGTACCTTGCTGTTGCAATCTTACTGTTGCCTTTATTCAGCACAGATATTGTTGCAGACCGTGTGAACCAGTACCTAAAATCAACTTGATTGCCAAGTGGGCGCTACTTTTAAAGAACAAGTTTGAAAGAACCCACATCAATATGATCTACAATTCGGCTGATCTGTTGAGTCGTCTATGATGACTATGACGTCAATATCCACAACTCTACTGTACAAGACAGAAACATCTTCGATCTATGATGATTATACAGTATTCAACAACTTTTATTGCAGATCGAAAAGATATATTGTCTCCATGTCTGAAGTCAATGATGCAGTAAACCTACTGCTGATACAAAATTTTCATCAGTTGCAGATTAACAAGATTGCATTCGAAAGTTGAATACTAAATGTTCAACTAGTACAGACATATCAATATCCTATTCGGAAATGGGAAAATAATTTATCCTTTTGAAAATAGTCAACGATGACACCAACAGACACTTCAATATTATGTTCATCATTTTCCACATCAATGCTTCATCTGATATAATATACAAATACACAAACAGCCAGATGATTAGGTACTGCATCCAAAAACCAGCATTGTGAAAGACTCATTAAACCGAGCTTACCTACAGCAAGAACATTTCAGTAACATATTTACTTATCGACTTTGTGCTAGACGTTTCAGGAAAGAACTGTTCATATTGCAGAAATACCAAAAATGTGGCAAAACTAGATGGATCTCCTTCAAGCAATAATGTGAACTCTTACAGTTGCAAGATCTTATCTGATATGACATTCTAAATTTCAAAGGCATCATTCTAGAATTCAAGGCGAAGTGAATATTCGTTAGAACAATATACAGCTGAAGATTTCAATTCAAGGAAACTGAACTCATTGAACACTGAAAGCATTCAACTTAATCGTTTAAACACACTGGAATTCAAATTATTATGGCAACAAAAGTGGAATCGTCAATGACAGTGGATCTGGACATCAGCGACTGGATCATCGTCAACTTAGAGTATGACTGATGAGTGAATGTACATTAAAAGTGAATGAAAGGACAAATGACACGTGGGGACTATAGAAATATTCACGTCACTACGATAAATTTATGTTAAATGTGATCATGATCTGATAAATTCAGTTGATTACATACGTTATTTTCTATTCGTTAAATGTTATCAATGTTTTGTGATCGTGAATTAACATATTATGTGTAATCCATTACATGTTCTATATGTTATGTGTTAGTGTAATATGTTTGGTTTGTTACATATTGAAGGTTATACATCTGATTCATCAGATTCCTCTTTGATATCTATGTCTTGTTGTGAAATATTTTGTATTCATGTTGCAAATTGGATGTACACATTATTTATTTTTAAAATGTAATTTTTGGGTTGATTTTTCAGCTTGGAAATGTAATTTTTCTCTGGTGATTTTCTTTTTTGGTTTTCAATACGTAATTTTTCCATTTTCTCCTAATCGTTAAAGTTAAACTATAACGTATAAAATTTTGCAGGTTTGCATTTCTAACATTTCTCCGTGAGTAATTGTAAGTTAAATGTGACATGTTGGTTGTTGAGAGGTCAACCACACATTTGGGTTCTGTGGATGGCACCGCAATAGTCAACTAGTTACACATAGTATTTTTTATGTAATAGGAAATTATTATATAAGGTCGAGACTAGGTAGGTAAATAATTTTTGACAATAGGACACGACGTGGTAACATATTATTTGAAATAATTTGTATTTATTTTTCGTTGGTTTTGGTAATTATGTAAATTTGTAGTAGATTTTGGCTGACAATAATTTGGTTAATTATTTTATTTTGTTTTTGTTTTTAAATAAGAAACTTATAAACCATATTTGAAACTTTAATATTGTTAGAAGAGATTGTCGCTCCAGAGGAGAGATCACTGAGTATATATGAAGGTGATAGAAACCTTGTACATTAGGGGAAGTTTCATGTTACAGGTGACATTGTCCATGATTGTTGCAAATGTGTCGTACAGGCCACACTTGTGTTTCTATATACTACACTATATGTCCAGAGGTATGACATGTGTCAGCGGCAGGTATTGCTAGGTAATTTTTAGACACATTATTCGACGGGATGTCAAGGAGTCGGGATGACTTAGTTAGAACCATAGAAGGGTCATGTCTATGACGACCATTGTTATGTTCTCAATGGCGTACAACTCGCACGAGAGTGGGGTTGGGTTCATGTGGGTCCCGGGCGGTTAATAGTCCACCCACAATATTATATAATTAGTCTTAACCTCTATGACTACAAAGCGTTAGTTAGTAGTGGCGTACTTGTGACATGTTGTGATACTATTGGTAACTTCATGGTTTAGTGTTGTCCTTGTATATGTACATGTCCCATAAGGATGTAAAGATACGTTGTTCTCAGGTGACTGACTCTCATTAGGAAACATCTCAAATCTATGTTGATAGGAACTTTCATGACTGTTTGGTGACAATAATTGGGGGAAGAAAGCAGGATATCTGGAGATGCACTGAACTGAATGTAGACACAATTCTGTCGACATCCCATACCCAGGTAGAGATACTTGACTCCAGACGTAGATATGTAAGGTAGACGTCTGTCATCAGGAAGTATCTGTCCAAAAGGAGGGGTGGATGTCAGGGTTCGCCCTGCTATGGGACAGTTCAGGATGATGATGATGAATCTCGTCATCGTACCCTGCGACCCTTAGTGACACTCAATACGTGCATACACACGTAGAAACGAGCATGAGCGGACTTCGCACGGGTGTGCACATTTTAGACCGGACGCTGGACGCTTGCTTGGGGGACTGCTAGGAAACTGGACGTGGGACGAGAGTGGATTTTTGACTGACCGTTTGTTTTTGACATGAAGATAGGTACCAGCGTAGTGATTAGATGTAACGTGTTCTGTTCATAGTTTCATGTAAAGTAATAGTTGTAACTAGAAGCCAGACCATGCTTTGCTGGTGGCGTTAACACTGTCGACGCACTTAGGCCTACACATTGGCGCATGCCATAACGTCTTTGGCATCGAGATATAGCGGGTTGAGCTGGCACTGTACGGGAGAGTGGTAGCGGCTCAGAGCTTAGTTCATAAACGTGTAAAGGCGCCTCTAAGCGATTTTAAAGTTAGACGCGGCCTGGGTTTTGAATAAGGAGCGCTACTCCTCCTGAGGTGTACCACCACTTCGTTTGCATCTTTGGTAATAAAGATTGTGTGTGTGTTGCAACAAGTGTTTGGCTTGAGTGTGTTTGTACGGTGTTTTCCTGTCATTGGCCTATAGCAGAGCCAATGGAATCGAGCCCTAGACAGTTAGGTTTCTGACAATGCCCACTAGTCAGGTGTTCAAATCGTTTGTATTAACAGACTTATTTGTTGATGTAGCTAAAACTGATACCAGAAAACGTTGCATCCGCCTGAGAGGCGAAGATCCAATAGTCTGCACACAGATAAGCCAGCTCTACCAAACGGATATGCACGGGTTCTAGAACAGGACTAGAGTCCAGAATCGAACGTACAATAAGAAATTTCCGCCAAAGTTTGCAGTCGATTACCGCGAAGAAGAGGAAGACACAAGGAAATGTTATGGAAAGTAAAGGTTGTCTATGTGATCACATCACCCAGCTAGTGTCGATTACTCTTCCTTAGCACTATTATGGGAAGGGTGAGGAAGGGGCATGATCAGTCACTTTAAACACACCTTCCGTATGAATAAATTTACTCAACCTTTCTGTGTTATTTACCTGTCTCAAGTGGTCCTCAATTATTGCAACCCCTCCACACCCACCCCCAGCTCCTCTGTGTTCACCAGCCCCATCTCTAGCAAGCCCTGATACATTGAACCTTCTCTCCACCAGCCCCATCTCTAGCAAGCCCTGATACATTGAACCTACTTTCCACCAGCCCCATCTCCCTGATACATTGAACCTACTTTCCAACAGCCCCATCTCTTGCAAGCCCTGATACATTGAACCTACTTTCCACAAGCTCCATCTCTAGCAAGCCCTGACACATTGAACCTGCTTTCCACCAGCCCCATCTCTAGCAAGCCCTGATACATTGAACCTACTTTCCACCAGCCCCACCTCTAGCAAGCCGTAGATACATTGAACCTACTTTCCACCATGGAAATAACCTTTACCTTGGTCAGCTGGGCCTCCAGAGATGTGATTTTCTTCTGCAGCATGGACTTCTCTCGAATGTGCTCGATCTCTTTCCGCCTCATCACCTGCAACATGTACACAGACAAATGAGTTGACTGACACGTCTGCCTATTGCTGCATTGGTTGCGCTTTTTTTTTTTTTCATTTCGTATTTTATTCTTTTTTACATATATTTACACACACACACATACATACACACACACACACACATTTCTAATTACCCCCCCCCCCCCCCCTCCCCCCCCCCCCCCTCCCCCCCCCCCCACCCCCTCCCCCACCCCCCCCCCCCCCCCCCCCTCCCCCCCCCCCCCCCCCCCACCCTTTCTCCACAAAAATTGTTAGGGGAAGTAAAAATTCAACAAACGAGTATGAAATCTTGAACTACTTCAAAGCTACTCACACATAATATAACCACGCTCTCCTTTAAATAACGGTCCCAAATGATCTACGCAGAAAGTTAACCCTAACAGAGCCTCATTACGTCCTACCCTACAAAGATTTAAAAGTTGTAGCTCGGAAAATATAAGGAACGAAAAGTATGAGGGAAAGGGCGAAGTCTACTACTTCAATCAATCAATCAGGTGCCGTCTCCACAATGAAGGTTGGCTGCAATGGATCTCCATCAAGCCCTGTCTCTTGCCCTTGATGTACACTCACTCATACTGCTGTTCGTCCATCTCTTGATGTTATCCTCCCACTTGTAACGCTGTCTGCCTTTTGCTCGCCTGTCTTGAACCTTTCCTTCTAAGATGATCTTTACAATACTGTTATGTCTTTTAATGTGGCCAAAATATTTCACTTGTCTCTTTTTTATTTTACCTAGCAACTCTCTTTTCATTCCCAATTTCCTCAGTACCTCTGTATTTGATTGCTTTTGTTTCCATAAAATACGACCTAATCTTCTGTATATCCACATCTCCAAAGAATTGATACGATTTTCCAGTTGTTTGTTCATTGTCCATGTCTCTGTGAAATACAATAAGTTTGAGAATACATAACATTTGACAATTCTCATTTTTAATGTATTGCTTATTTCTCTTGATGTCAGTAACTTTTGCATGTTGTTGAAAATGTTTTTGGCGATCCCTATTCTTTTTTTTTTTTTTTTTTTTTACTTCTGTTTCACTTCTGCCGTCACAAGTTATTACTTGTCCAAGAAATTTTTAACTTGTTCCAATTTCACCCCGTTCACTGTGATATTCATTGTTAGCTGATTATTTTACTACTGCTTACCCACAGTTAAATCCTTTATATGTGAAAATTGTGGCCCAGTAGTTGCAAACAGCGCCCGAATATTTGTTCTTTTTGGCTGTCCGCCATGCCAACAGGTCGCGGCTTGTCCTCGAGTCTCGTTCCGGGCGAGACATAATCGATAATGCGCTTTTTAATGTATGCGCATGTCGCCTCAGGACAACTTCAAACCAGCAGTCGCTATGGGACAACTTCAAACCAGCAGTCGCCACTATGGCCGTCCACTATCCCGACGACCCCTTGGCCGTGGCGAATGCGACCACGCTGGCAGTTCCGACGCAAGTAGTAGCTCATGACTGTTTTCCTGCGACTAAAGTGCCACCTCCGATAGTATCCCAACGCCGCTACGCGCGGCGCGGAAATTGCTAAACTAGATGGCTAGGACTCACGAGCAAATACAATGGAGGAAGCTGCAGGAGAAGAGATAGCTGCTGCTCGTGAGTCCCAGCCATCTAGTTTAGCCCCTTCCGCGCTGTGCGTAGCGGCGCGGGGGAATACTCTCAGAGGTGGCACTATAGTCGGCGAAAAGTGGTCCGGAACTTACATATAACTGTGGCCCTATCGTAGGATAGCGCACGGCCAACTCTAGATATAAAAAGCCTGAAGATGGCCCTGCCGTAGGATAGCGCTATCGGCAGTATTCTCGCGTGTCGCTAATTTTTTTCGTCTGTAGTTAATCCTTGTTTTGCTGCCGTGTAATCGCCGGAAAAAAAATCCGTTGTGTTTCGCGAAAATGTCGTGCGCAATTAATGATACTTTTGACACGGTTGAATCGCCGCAAAAGAAATGCGAAGTTTAGATATGAGTGAGGCTCTGTTTGGGTTTACTTTCTGCGTAGATCATTTGGGACAGTTATTTAAAGGAGAGCCTATAACTATTATGTGATAGGCTGTTATGATTAACATATATGCGATTTACAAATTCAACTCAATGCAGACACTGTCTTTGTTTCATATACATGATGGCTACAGTTACCTCCGCTGCCTCAACTGCAATCTATAGACTGAAAATGTACTGAAGTGGGAAAGATCTTTTTATTGCATCATATTCTATATTCTTTAACTTCATCCATGACCCTCCCTAAATTATCAGTCTTGTCATTTCCTTTGCTTGTAAGGTCTCCCTCTATTTCTTTTGTCCAGTGGAAGGAAATTTTATGTTTTTCCTCATTGTAAGTCCTATCCGAGACTAGAACCTTTCCATATTTTTTTCCCCATTTAGCCAGAATTTGTGCGTCTTTCTCTGTCTGCGTTAGTGATTCTGACATTGTTTCTGTTTTGCGTATTTGTTAAATGATTATATTGTTGTATTTGTTGTTTGTGTTGTATTTTAGTTGTTCTGTTCGAAACAGCAGCACAGTCGTCTAACGTTAAAGTCAAATATTCATAGTTATCTTGATTTCTACAGACAACCTATGAAAGCTGCTCTTGTCTTGTATTCTTATTCCAAAATATATATTTGATTTCTGTCATACCTGCAATGCCATTTCAATATGTTTATGTTAAATCTTTTGTAAAGAGTGAACGTTTTTAGCTATTATTAGGAGAAACACGTTAATCCATTTTATTTTAAATTATTTCACAACTGGACAACGGATTCGGCTTTCGAAGATTTCCGTTTAAAAACAACTTTTAAGTACGGATTAGGTTCCAGACCCGAAGATCCACTGACATAAATTTGTTTGTTCTCCCCTCCTCCCCTCCCCCCCCCCTCCCCTTTCCCTTTGAAATGTTGGACACTGAAACTGTTGCGCTGATATTTCTGAGAACTGGAGATTTAGTAAAAATTCAATTTGGACCTTTTGATTTAGTTTTGATTTATCCTTTAGATTAGTCTCGATAACTACGAAGCTCAGATGGGGGGGGGGGGGGGGGGGGGGGGGGGGGATACATTTACAAATACAACAGAAAGTTCCGACTAAAGTAACGCTCGGCTGATTTGTGTTTGTTTTCTGTTCCCTGCTTGAGCTTTCTAGTCATAATCTGTGTAACGTTCAATTACTCTTGATATCATTTCGACTGCAGAAGCTGCCATTTTTGTCAACCCTGTGTATTTACTTTTTTCATCCTAATGCTACTTAACAATCGTTCAGATATTCAAAAAGAGTTAAAACACTTAGAAAACAGGCATACCTCCCTGAGTGCTTTCTCCGCTGGTGATCCACGGGACGATAAGGGCAGTGCGCCACTATGTGACTGGGCGTCCATGCTAATGCCACAGCGGGCAATAAACATCATGGTCACCACAGACATACAAAACAACAGCAACAGCAGCCGCGGCATGGTGCGCATGGCAGTTGGATTCAGACAGCACTCACAGACTGCTAACATGAGCTGCAATCTAAGATGTCAGCTCCAGTCTGCTTACGTCAAGTGTTATGTACAAATCTCGATGGTTCAGAGTTGTTTCCTTGCTAGAGCTCATTAGTCTGGCCCCTGTGCTGGCATTTACTCAGCCAATAGTGAGTGGTTTACACGTAATTATGTCACTGTAAACTTCTGCGATATCAGAGACCGGAAAGAGTTTAACGTCATGATTAGTTCCTCCTGTGAGAAGAACAGGAAGAGGAGTGTGGAAATCAAGGTGGACGAATTAATCGATGATTAGCTCGCCGCTTATACAATTAACACAATCATAAAAAACCTTGCCGCAGATTTCCTTTCCACGAGAGTTACCATGAAGCGAATCTAGTCAGCTCTTGTTTTAGACACGTTCAATATTTGTTTTCAACGAATCAGACGCAGATTTTTATTGGCTATGGTTATTGTGTCCGATTGTTGATGTAGATGGTCAGCTATGTATGCACTTAGTGCTGTCCGTAGTGTTAATCTACTGTCTATTTTCTGCATTAGTACTAGTGAAAATCAAGGCTCACACAAGCTCTGTTGTACATAATGGACATGGCCATTTCCTTCTGCGACCACCCGATATATTCTCATCCTTCTTTGACATCTGATTTGTCACTTTTTCAACCTGTTAAAGAGATATATATTTTAACATCATTACAAACTATATAAGAACAGGTCTGTATCAGAGAAAACATACTTCACAAAGAACTACATGCAGTTAGTGCCTGGATTATTGATATTTTTCCCTGCATGCTTTTATTTGGAGCTTGCAAAACACGATAACATACCAGGTTTTAACTGACTAGGCCATCCGGGCAAGAAGTGATGTCAGTAATAAAACATTGTCACAATTTGTTGTTGTTTTTTTTTTTTTTTTTCAATTTTTTTTTTTTTTTCAATTTGCCTAATTTTTAGACAGATTACCATTTGATTTTCTTTTCTTATCTGTTATCCTGCAAATTTTTGACATTAACTTACATCTGCACAACATCCTGGCTCCCTGTTTTCTGGCGGTGCGCAGTGGTAGGCAGCACCTACACCTTTTAAAGGAATCGTGTGTTCAGAACCACTGGCAGTGCCAGGATAGACGCCGGAGTGGCCAACCATGAGTTAGTACATCTGTGCGATGCCATCTTATTATGCTGTCACCAATAAGTAGTCTTCTGCCGGCAAGTGAACCAGCAACAGCCATTGTGGGTAGACGTGGGCGAGTTTCTTGAAAAATAGTCAAACATTCACTTAGCCATACAGGCCTTACGTTGGGCCAAACTTGGCTTACAGACATCGTCAACAACGCCTGCAATCGTCAGAGCAACATGCCAGATGGACTAGACTGCAGGAGAATGATGATTCAACACATCATTTGCTGATGGATGTACGCGGATTTGGTGAGGGAGTGGACAGTGTTTAACAGATTGCTGTATTCGTCAGCACAATGGATTTAGCGAAGGAAGTAATCAGTGTTGGGGAGGATT